TGTTTTGAATTCAGCTGAAAGAGTAGCAAACTTTGGACTCCAAGGTGTTACAAACCATGATGAAGAATGAGAAAGTGAAATCAGTGATGGAGAAGGACTGTCACCTGGGATATAGAGAACTTTGTGACAACATGTGACACGTTGGCCATATGTCATTCTTAGCACAAATGTTACAGAAGAAAAGAGAACTCTCTGAAAGAGCTAAACTAGTAAAAATAATATGAAGGTATTCCACTATTATTATTATTTATTTCTTGTTAGGCTTGTAATAATTCAGGTGCTTTCCAAACAGAAAAGCTACAGGCCCTGCCCCGAGGAGCTCACAATCTAAAGGTGGACAAGAAGAGAGACGTGAAGGAGAGGGAGTCCACAGAGAAGTCAAGAGGCCAAGATGGAAATCAACCATATCTTAGCAATCAAATGTGGTTTGAACACATGGTTGCAAAGCTATACAAACTATTTTCCAATTACTGCTCATATTTTCCATTTTCGTTCAACTAGTTCACTTTTAGGTGCCATGGCACAGAGAGATGTGCAGGAAGGAAGCTTTCGATATGTGAGCTCAGAAAGAGCAGCACATGTATAAAGTAGAGCTGGAAAACTCGCTTAAAAGTATAAAGATGAGAGGAGTTTGTCTGGATTTTCAAAACTCAGTTCAGTAGCAGGATAGTTTAGATCCAGAATCGTATATCTTTAGGTCAGGTCCTACAAGGTGGGAGTTACATGTGATGGATTCCATCTGGAATGTAAGTGTACTCTATGGATCTGGAGGCTCCTTAATGCAGGCTAATATGAATTATAAAATCTATCACAGCAGGGTAGGGAAGTTAAGCATGAGATGACCACACAGATGTGGTCTATTCACATGTTTCCAAGGGAGGAGAAGGATGGTGTTGAGAATTCAAGGGTGGTTATTCTTAGGTCAGTTGTAAAATTACATTTTTAATAATGTAGGACACCAGTCACTGATTAAAAAGAAACAGAGCGTTTAATTTTAAAAATACTGTTTTTGACTAAGACAATAAGTCACTCATCAGTTATGAAAAATACTATTAGGTTTTCTTTATACATTTAGATGTCTAAGTATTTTTTATAAAACCTCCAATCAGGTTCCCCCAAACTCTGAAATTGTCAAAGAAACTCTCTTAAGGCTTGCTTTTAAAAACTTCTCAACAAATTGCCATATTTTTCCAAGTACTCAGGGGTTCATTATTTGTTTGTTCATTCCTGAAGTGTCTTTCTCTTAGCAAATACGAGTATATTGTAAAGGCAAAAGCTAATAAGCAGTTGAATATTAAAGTGCATAGGTTGTCCACATTTGGAAAAATAAATGGTCGAAGAAGCAGTAGCTGTTGTGATTACGGATTTCTGGGGAGTAATCCGTCATCATTTTTAGCAAGCCACAGATATTTCCTTTAGTATAAGAAACACTTTTTTACAGTCTTCAAATCCTGCAAATGCATTTCTAACAATGGTATCAGGACGGTGATAATCCTTTTGCTGGGAGGGAGAAGCTGTATTTAAATAATCAAATAGACCGATTTTTCTTAATTTACAGGTATTTGTATTCCTTCAATAAATAAAAGAATATACTTTATCTTTTGATTCTGTATAGCTTTTTAAACAAATCAAGTTTCTAGCAATTTAAATAAATTATTCTAATAGCTTGAAATGAATTATGCTGACCGGAGTCACTTATGATTATTATGGTGCTCAGAATCTTTTAAGAATCTACAAAGTTAAATAAAGGCTTACAAGTCTCTTAAGCTACTTTTTATTTGCATAGAAAAATATTTATCATAGGAGTCAACTATCATATGAGAGAAATTGCATTTGTTGTAATTGAAAAAGATAGCTAAAAAGTTTCTGTGGGTTATTGCAACAGTACAAGAATACAAGATGCTTCCATTTATTAAAAAATGTAAAAGAAATCGTGAAAGCTAAAGCAGGCTACAAAACAGAAGGTCCCCGTATTGTCTTTCTCTTGACTACTATGTTACAAGATCATGTGCCACAGTCGAGTACTATAAAGTGTAATTCTGCATTTGCTAATGTAATTCTTAAACATTCCCCCCCCAAAAGCACTATGCAAAATATATATATTTGTGAATGCTTCCTCCTGTAAGCATCACAACCTTGTTATCACATAATCACCCTGATCGATTGTTTCCTGTTTCCCATCACAGTCAATGCTAATGTCCAACTCCTTGTCCAGCTGATCCTGCGGTGTGGCTGGTTCTGAGTTCTGTAACTCCATTTTCTCCATTTCTGAAGCACAAATACTTCCCTCTTCCTGTGAATCAGAAGAGTCGCCATTATTTTGTGACTCAGCTAACATGCATTTTTCGTCAGGACTTTGGATGTTTAATTCACAGTTCATGGGCAGTTCTCCCTCTTCCAGTTCAGCAGTTTTCTCACATTGTTCTTCTGCCTGTTGACGGGAAACTTCCTCAGAAACGGTGTATATTTTATTTGTACTCTGCTCCACAGAGTTTGTTTTCGATCGTCTGTGAAATAACCCAAAATTTTTTATGTCTGTTACAAAATTCACACGCTTTTGTTTCTCCTTAGTGGACTCTGACACCATCATTGCTGAGCCGTTGCTTACGTTATGTGCTTCAGAGGCAATAGTGGCTGATCTTGGGTGAATCATTGTTGTTATGTCAAAAAGGCTGAAGGTCTTCTTCTTTCCTTTCTTGTTTCCTTCACTCTCATAATTTTCTTCATTTTCTGACAGAGAGGCAGTGTCTTTGTTCACCTTTGCAGTCTGCAAATTAGACAGCTTGCTTCCTTTTAACAAACCTAGGACTTCAAAACGAAAGCTGGAAATATCTTGTTTTAACTCCTAAAAATTAGGAAGAAAGATGAAACATCAGAGCATGAAAGCTAATTGACTTTTCCTCTTGTAATTAAAAAAAAGAAAAAAAAAAGGCGAGGGATCAGTAATAAATGTCAATAGCTGGATTATACCTGGCATCTTCAAGGTGCTTTGCAGACTGTCTAATGGATCTTCCAGGTGAGACAGAAGAATGATTAGTAATTTTATCAGAGGAAACTTCAGAGGAAATTTGCCTTAGCCTAGACTACTGATAGAAATAACTGACAGTGGTGAAGGAAGGAGCGCGGGCACCTTGAAGACCTATAACCAATTTGCTAGACAGTATTGTCTCCTCATGATAACAGCATTTTGATCAGCTCTTAACACCATCCCTTACACACACACATGGGGACACATACATGCACAAGGTATGCACACGTGCGCATGCTTCTCTGTGAGCAGGAGTGCAGGTAGGACTTCACACATTTCCACTAAATGTTTGGCAGCTAGCAGCTAGGTCACATCTAATCATCGCAAGCTGCTTTCACCCCGTGCAATCTCTGCCTCTTAAAGGCCTGTCTCAGGAGAAGGCACCTTGCCTCTAGGAGGTCCCTATTTCCCTTCATTTTCTTTAAAGGGAAAATCATAGAATCATAGAATAATTTGGGTTGGAAATGACCTTTAAAATCATTGAGTTCAACCATAAACCTAACACTGCCAAGTCCAACACTAAACTATATCCCTAAACACCACGTCTACCTGTCTTTTAAATATCTCCAGGTATGGTGACTCCACCACTTCCCTGGCCAGCCTGTTTCAATGCTTAACAACCCTTTCAGTGAAGAAATTTTTCCTAATATCTAATCTAAACCTACCCTGGTGCAACTTGAGGCTGTTTCCTCTTGTCCTATCACTTGTTACTAGCGAGAAGAGGTCAACCCCCACCTCTCTACAACCTCCTTTCAGGTAGTTGTAGAGAGTGATAAGGTCTCCCCTCAGCTTCCTTTTCTCCAGGCTAAACAACACTGGTTCCCCCAGCTGTTCCTCATAAGACTTGTGCTCACCAGCTTTGTTGCCCTTCTCTGGACACACTCCAGCATCTTGATGTCTTTCTTGTTATGAGGGGCCCAAAACTGAACACAGTACTCAAGGTGGGGCCTCACCAGTACCAAGTACAGGGGGATGACCACTTCCCTAGTCCTGCTCACCACACTACTCCTGATACAGGCCACGATGCCATTGGCCTTCTTGGCCACCTGGGCACACTGCCGGCTCATATTCAGTCAGCTGTCAACCAATACTCGCGGGTCCTTTTCCACTGGGCAGCTTTCCAGCCACTCCACCCCAAGCCTGTAGTGCTGCATGGGGTTGTTGTGATCCAAGTGCAGGACCCAGCATTTGGCCTTGTTGAACCTCATACCATTGGCCTCAGCCAGGTTCTGGCTGTATATTCTGCACTCGTAAACTGAGGCAGATTAATATAATTTTGAATTTTTGGAGTTTGAGGCACCAATAGTAACAAAAATGTTTGATGCTATATGACAATACATCCATCAGTGTGATGGGATATATATGGCCCTGTTTGTTTCATCTGTGTCTCAGAATTTCAATATTTGACCACTTATTTAAGTTTTCCATCTTTTAAGTTGTATAAAAGGTGTTCTGTATACAAATAAATGCACCACAGCACTCTATAACAGAAAAAAAATATCTATTTCCTAAGGTACTGAAACTATTTGCTTCGTGCTTTAGCAAATATGTTGTTACACACACTTAGTCCCACTTGGTGTCCCCTTACATGGGCACAATTCAAACTAACTAATAAAACTGATTATTGCCCCAGCTAAAGAATGAAGGAGACTTGCTGGAGTCCACATACAATACTATCTGTGTGTGGTCCATCAGGACACAGACACTGCTCTAAAAAGCAAGTTATATGCTGCTGGAATAACTGAGGAGTGTGAGAAGTATGCTTCACAGTCTTATAATATCTTACTAAACCACCTATAAATATATAAATGAACTCATACCTTAAAATTTTCTTCTGTCAGTCCTTCCTCAGTTTTGGCATCTCTTATCATTGCTGCAACATATCTCTTCACCAGATTTTTCATAACTTCCTAAAAATATAAAATATTGCGTTAGCTTTCTTGGTATTAGTTACTAAACCTACACTCACTGGGCCTGCTTGTACTTCTTTGTGCTTTAGGAGCACAACAAAAAATGTACAAACCTTAGGTGTGGTTGAAAATTTGTTCTGCTTTTCAGTGGAAAGTGCTGATATGAATTATCCTGAAAAGGGCTGTATTGGGTTTGACCAAAAGTATGTCTCATGCCAGTAATGTGGAGCCTGACAGTGAGCAGTTGCTGATGTCTCATGAGGAGTTTAAGTCTGGTGCGGTTTTATAATATTATTTCCAGCTATACTCTCCCAAGCCTCCTGTGATGTGAGATTCAGAGACTTTCTGAATCAGAAATGATAGCTCTAGATTTAATGGGCTATGACAGGTTTTCCTATGTGTTTTGAACTCATGTAAATTTTCGGCATCCATGAATCCGCTGCCAATGAATTCCACAGCACACCTGGAATAAGGTTCCATTTGGGTTTTTATTTTTAACCCGCTCTCTGATAGTTTCCATTATTGCCTTCTACTAGGAATCCTAAAATTATTTAGGTTGGAAGAGATACCTGGAGGCTGCCTAATTCAGCTCAGGGCCATGTCCAGTCAAGTGCTGAATATCTCCAAGGGTGAAGATGCTGTGGCCTCCCTGAGCAACTTTTTCCAATTCTTTACTGCCCTCACTGCGGTGATGATTTTCCTTACGGAATTTCCCTTGCTGCAACTTGTCTCCTTTGACTCCTGTTCTTTTGCTGTCCACCTCCAAGAAAAATCTGTCTCCTTCTACTTTCCAACCACCCACTATGTTATTGAAGACAAGCAATTAGATCCCCCTTAACTTACTCCAGGCTGAAATTTGAGCTTCTCCTTTTATGTCAGCCCTCTAACCATCTTGGTGGCCCTTTGCTGGATTCCTTCCAGTTTGTTAACATCTCTCTTGCAGTGGGGGGCCCAAAACAGGACACACTGCTCCAGATGCAGTCTTACAAGTGTGGGCTGGAGGAGAATAATCACTTGTCTCAAAGTGCTGCCTACAGCCTTACTAATGCAGCCTAGTACGTGTCTGGTATTCAGTTTGCGGATAGATGGTAAACAGCTGCTCTGTGTTCACCTTCCCCATGATTTTATAGATCCCTGTTGTACTTCCCACAGCTGTCTCTTCTTCACTTTGGAAAAGTCCTAGTTTACCTAGTCATTTTCCATATGGAATTTATTAATTACCAAACCTACAAGTGTATAACCTACATCTTGTTTAATGTACAGCCCTTTTAATGCAACAGAATTTGAAAATAAATCTGAAAATTATTCCTTTTGCTACCATAATCTCAAAAAATCAGATGCTGAAGCACGGTGGACGAAGAAGAAGAACAACCTACAGGGGCTCTAGGCAGAGGGGTTATTGAGGGACAGGAAGTTGTCTATGGGGGACCAGAGCTGAAGAGGAGAACAGGTTCTTATGGAGCATGTCAGTGAGCTGCACATATGATCCTGATAAATCCCAGCACAGAAGTGGGACTCTGTGTTTGCTTTTTTAAAGGCAATCCATGTTACAGTGGGCAAAATACTGGTTAGCATATAATTGCTCTCGGAAATATCCTTTTGCACCCCAAAAGTAGACAACCCTACTTCTCAAATGCTATTCTTTGAACAGCAAAAATAGTATGCTCATTTGCTGAGGATGAAATAAGTATAAATTTTGTGGATTTTTTTTTCTACTTTCTCATGAAATTCTTCATTTTTTTTACTTAGGAAGACCTTTTGGAGGCATAGAAAAATAATTGCCAAAAAACTAAACATGCACCTGTACCTGGTATTGATGATGTCTTCTCAGATTGTCAGCTGCACGTCTCTGAAAAAAAGAAAAGAAAAGAACAAAAAAACATGAATCCCTGCCTGGTAGTAAAATACTTACAGCATAGAAAAACAGCAGGTCTGTGCAATATGTGGTATCTAGCAAGCTGAGAGAGATGGTTCGTTGTCTGTTGAAAAACGGCAGTGTTGGAGCAAAGCCTGTGATTAGCTTTACAGAAGGGACAATGTTGTTATTTGGAAGGCAAAGTGGATTTTCTGTATTTTCATCAATGCGTTGCTATTCCAGCATTGGCATGGATGCGGCGGGGCAGCCAGGTCTCTGTTTGCAGAGCCCTGAAGTCACAGATCTGAGGTAGAAAGGGAACAATGCGATCATGTCACTCGCACAGACTGATGCATATTTTACTGAATTGAGATAAGCTTGATGTAAGCATGGTGTTCTCAAGACACTTGCTATGGGTCCTAATGTCTCATTTAAGATAGAGCTAACCAAAACCTGCACTACAAAACCATATTAAAGAGAAAATTTCCTGCTTAGTTCCCTGTTAAAAACACTTGGTCACAGAGAGTCATATGGAAGAAAGAAACTCATCTTGCTATGCAAAATTTGGTGTTGATAAGGAAGGAGAGTAAGAGTGATAGTAACTCTGAAGAGGAACAGCAAAGAGCAGTGTGGTAGGATGAAAGCATCGTACGGGCTTCAAGCGAGTGTTGCATTAGATTATACTGTCATATCTAAGGGCTGTCCAGACAAAGATGGGGAAAAAAAGGCCTAAATTACTTAGTCCTTCAATTACTGTTGTCCTCATTAGCATACTAAGTCACATCTTCTTATTCTCTACCTTAATTACCACTGAGTGGTGAAAGACAGACTTACAGTATTAACTTGGGTTCATATACTTCCTGCTGGTGAGAAAAGAAGGTGTCTGACCACTGATTGTACTTTTACAAAACTGAACACTTACAGCATTGTAATGTGGGATAAAAGGACATCCAAGGGACTTGTTAAAATTGATCTCAGTTGCATAATGAGGCAGGCACAGTAAGGTATTTTGACATCTTCTTCTACTTGAATCTGATTGGCAATTTATGATTCCCAATTTCTCTCTATTCATAATCAGTTTACACTTTAGGGTTGATTTCTTGTTCGTAAATAATTTGAGGCATGCAGTAGCTGTGTGGTTGGGCTTGGCAAAAAAATATGAGAAAGGGGAAAATCATTATGTCCTAATCACCCTGAACAGCCCCTGTGGAATAGGGCTTACACATAAGCATCTTGTCGTCGGTATTTTTCCAGAGCATGTTTCTGTATCTATGCCTCATCCAAAGATAGAAATTCCTTGTGTTTACGGGTGGAGGGATGGGCGAGTCTGCCCACCGCCGGGGCCGGAGGGGGCAAGGCAGCCGTGGGAAGGCTGATACCCTCCCACCACTCGCTTTTAGCTGGCTTTTAGAAAAAAACCTCTGTATTTGCAAAGTTGACCACACGATGGAGATGTTTCATCCCTGCTGAGAGAGCAGCACGGGAGACCGTGGCTAAGAGAGCTCTCAACAACAGATCTGACTCACAGGTAAAGGGAAAAACACTTTAAGGTGTAATTGAAGCACACTTCAGTTCAGGTAAAGCTAATAAATCCTATAAATAAAACAAATGCTGATTCTTGTCTCGCAGAATACTTTCTGCAGTCACTGTCTGATCTGCTTTATTTTACAGCGAAATGTGAAATAAATGCATAGGTTTAATTCCGTACCCATAACAAGAAATAGCTAAATCAGGTTTATCCTTTTTTTTTTTTTTTTTTTGCAAATGATTCTGAAACTCCCAGAAACAGAGGCAGTGGCTTTTCCACTCAATGAAAGGTCAACAAGTGTAATTTGGAATGACTATGTAAACAAATTTATTTTTGTAATAGCCTGTCCAGAACAGTTCGACTGTACTTAATTGTTTTCAATCCATACCACTGAGAAGCTCAAAAAGAATGCATTTAGTTGTGTGTTTTCATACACCGACAGATACATACTGCACGGGGAATTATGCATACACATAACCTGTCGAAGTTATTAACCCCATCAGTTCTCTATCTCCTGTTTAAATGTTCAGATTCAGTCTCCAGTTCTTAATTACCTTTTCATTCCTTCTGAAATCAGGATGAATCTTTGCTTAAATATAACTGAAAATCAATCTATTCGCTATAAATAAAATTACATTAACACTCATATTGTCCTTAGTTCTCAGCCAGCCTGTTTTTCTCTTCCTGGTAATAGTCTAATTTGTGGTTGTTCAAAACTTGTTTCCAGTAACCTCTGTGCTATGTGAATGAAGTGTTGAAAACTATGGCTAGCAAAGGGATAAAAGTTGAATCTGACTACAAATAGCAACAGGGGAAGAAAGTCTTCTGATGACAATGTCATATGAGACCATGAAATTGAAGGAGATGATACTTTTATTACTTTCCAAAGGGGGCACTAATATCCTTTAGGAAGCTTTAATGGTAGTTCTACTAGTAGTGATAATTATTTTGGTTTTCCTGCTTATGCCATTCCTAGTAATTTGCATTGTTTGAAAGAAAAATCTCTTTAGCAGTCAAAAATTTGATAATGTTAAATTACTTATTTTGAAGTGTTTTATCAAAATTAGATCTTTTATAAAGTAGGAATTCAAATTTAATGCCTGCATTTGACTGTTTGGTGATACAGGTCCAAAAAATGTAAAGATCATCTCAAGTTATGGGATATATTCCCAACCTTGAATAGAAGCATCCCATAAAAAGGGTAAGAACTTATCTGTATTGACAAAGAGGTTTCCCCATGAGATGGTCCTTGGCTATACAACAAACACTCCAGACTTTTTTCCATTCCAGGTGGAAGGTATTACTTCTTTGCTCAACTTTCAATAACACACATTACAGAGAAAGTACAAACTATTTACACTGACTTAGGAGTTCCATCACTTTCCACTTTGAGAACAAAGAATAGGAGAAGGGGAAAGCAGATTTCTCTGACAAATTATAATAATTATCATGTAGGTTGCTTAGAAAAATGGCACAAAAATCTGGATAGCTAGAAAATCTGATGTTTATCTAAACATTAAATGCACAAAAAAAAAAAAAAAAAAGATACTGATGATATCCCTGACAATCCTTTCACTTTTCTCCTCTGAAATACTTAAAATTATAGGGAAAACACTTTTTGGTGACTTATCAGACATAAAGTGGCGTGTAATTTGAGGAAAATAGTACAATTTCTTCCAGTGGGATTGGGATTTCTTTTCTTTTCATCTCTTCTTTTTTGAAATAACAATGGATTTCAGACGGTCAACAGGAGTAGCCTTGAGACACACAAAGGCCTTGGGCAGTCAGGAAAATTTCAGCTTAATCAATAGAATTACATTACTAATCCGGCTTCTGCAAAGGTGAGCTGACAAAGTTAACAGAAGTGCTATATATATATGTATATATATATAAAGAGCAGCACACATTGTTATTTCAGAGTTTTAAGTGTAGGAGATACTTTGTGATAATAGCTAAAGAGAATGCTGCATACCTGGGATATGTCAAAATGACAGAAAATAAAAATGTGCTGAAATCTGAAAGGTAGAAGATGTCTGTCTGATTAATAGCAGAGCTGAAGTACTAGTAAATCACATGTAAGCATCCCGGCCTTCCTTCAGCTGTAGCTGTGGCTAGAGAATCTGCCATCAGCATGGCTGGGCAGCATGTTGCTTTGGAGAAAAAACCCGTCCCTTGAAAAAGCTCCCCTTGACACCACCACTTGCTGCTTCAGCTGTTCCAGTACAACAAAGGATGGCAGAACCACAGAACTGACATCCGATGAGAAGCTAATTAATCATCTCTCTTCAGAGGCACCTCACTTCCCTGCAGACCCTGTTCTTTCCCATGGTAGCTTTCTTGTAAGTAGCACTGTAGATGGTCCTCCCAAGCAACCCTGACATACTTATTTTTACTGACATTTTTCTTCTTCATATGAGCCAGATAAATCCTTTCTGCTCTAAACTATCCTGACACTGAACCCTTTCTTTATGAGTTCTGCCTGTAAATAATGAACTTTCAAGTGTACACATGTGTATATATACTTTTTTACAGTGGATTGCTGGTGACATGTTTAATTCATTCCTAGCTCATGATCCCTGTTTTTTCAGCACTAAGGTTTCTTCTGCAGATATCATGCATGAAAAATGCTGGCTTTAACAAGCCAGCTCCATTCTGTCTATCATCTGTTTTGTATCCTCTAACACTGACTCAGCCTTTGGATGCACACTAGTGCCTTTTCTACTGGAAAACACCATAGTACGTCACCACTGATTAGAGCTTCCTAATAGGAAAGTTAGCATTTAGAGGTTTCAGAACAAAATGTTTTGAAATCTAGGTTCTGCCTCACAGACAACATGACATCCATACGTCCACATAGCCAATGTAAGAAAATGAGCCTGAATGTGAGCCTATAGTGTTTTTCCCCCAGTACAGTTCATAGGGAAGGAATCAGAGTTCATAATGAAAAGCAGTAGGTCCCAACAAAGCTTATCTTGTAGCTCTGAGGCCAGAGTTATTACAGGGGAGATTCCAGTGAGCTGTCATCTGAGATCCCTGAACAAAAAAAAGCAGAGAAAACTCTTCATTTCCCTTTGGTTGAAATGCCATAGAGGTTCTAAATATAATTTGTGATGCCGTTTCTTGGGACAACTGAAGAAGTTCTGGGAACCCAAGGCTGAACTGTGGGTGATGGGAATGAGTTTTTCAAAACCAGAAAGCAGCACATCCCCCTGGGACAAAGTGTGAGATCACCATGGTGTGCCCATTCCTTCTCCAATGACTTAACTGCTTGGAGAAAAGCATCTGTTTAACAGCATCTGGTTTACATCTACCCAAACTGTGTGTAGACCTGGCTGCTGGAGTGAATAGTGGCTCTCACACTCTGATGGATGTGGACAGATTTTCCTAATGTGGAAATCAGAGCGTAGAGTGCATACCCACATCTTATCCCATTTTGGAGCTTGGGTGCATAACTGGGCCTAGAAATTGCAAATTGTTCCAAACTCAGATAGCCCTAATGGAGTTTCTGTTACAGCTGAGGAGCTAGCTGAAGAACTTTGTAGTTTTATGAGATACCCAGATGTGTAGACTCCATCTGCCTGGTCAGGCACTCACTTTTTCCAGGCAGCTGGAAGTCTTGTTGCCATGATGGCTCTGCTGGTGAGCCCTCTGCTCCGAAGGGGTTTCAGCTATACTGGCATCTAAGTACCTATTCTGTAGTGGAAACTAGTGATGGATATGTCCCTATTGTCTCACAGACTTTGGGTTTTCCACTTTCTCTCATCAGACATTTTTTTTTAAATTTACTTTACAGAAGCTAACCAAAATGTCCTATATCTCTCCCTTGCCTATGTTCTCCACTCCCAAACAATTCAGTAATTAGTGGTTCACATTCAAATCATAAAGAAGCCAGGTTCAGCTCCTTCTCTTCTGTTCTCCCAAGAGAGCACCTTTTCCCCCAAGGTCTTAATGATTTTGAGATGGAAATCTCTCCTGTCAGAACTGTTCTGCTTGGGGTAAATAATTAAATATCCACTGGAGAATAGAAGTGAACCTGGGTCTCCCTTAGCCCAAACCATTTCCTTTACATGGCACCTGCTCCTTCTCTTTCCAAGCAGAAACTCCATCTTGAAGCTGAAAAGTCTTTCCCAACAAAAGCTGCTTTGAAACTGGTATATATTAATGAAAAAGTCTGGGGGTTAAGGATTTTGTATTTTTTTAATTAAAAACAAAAAACAAAAACCAACCAAACAAAAAAACACAAAAAAAACCCCAAACCAGAACAAAACAGAAAATTCTATTTGGAAAAAATCCCAACCAGTTCTGTGTATAGAGTCCCCGCCCCTTGACCCTTTGCTGCACCAGTTTTCCAAAACCCAAGCTGCTAAATACCAAGAAGGTGGTATTTATGTACGTCAGCAGAAGGTAGCTGCAGGAACCGGGGTGTGACCTTTCTGAATGCCCTACCTCACCATGCCATTCAGCACGGGGCTGAAAGCACCCTGTCTCTTTCTTTTTTATTCCACAGAGTCAGGAATGACTTTACTTCCAGAAATCCAGTTTGAGAGGGAAAAAAAGGAAGAAAAATCCCTTATCCTGAATGGAAAGTCTGACAGAGGATATTGTCCCAAAGGTTTTGCTGGTATGGATAAAGGTATTCTGAATACATCTCAGTCAAGCAGGGATACAGTGTTAACCAACCCTAGATCCTCAGCTGCTATACGCTGGCACCACTCCATTAATTTTAATATCATTCTACCAGTTTACACTAGCTAATCATCCCTACCAAATGTTTAACAAATGCCTGCAAGCATTGCCCACTCTCCCACACACACGAGTACATCACTCTTGATTTTCTCTTTCTAACAAAATCTCACAGTTCTTCCTCCTGTTGGTCTCTGCCTTTACTTCTTTCCCTTGCTAGATTACGCAGTGATGTTTTATTCTTGACATTCACCATTCATGCTAGCTAACATCTTTTATTTTTATATTTATCTGAATCACCGTTTGTCTCTCTCCACAGCTTTTCTAATGTTAATTTTAATGGGTTTTTTTGCAGTGCTTTTTCTAGTAGCCTATAACTGGTTTGGTTCAATGTCATCCTCGTGCTTATGAGCTTCCTTTTCTGGCTGTTTCTTTCCTGTCTAAAAGTATGACAGCTAAGCGAAGCATATTTTGTTTTCACAGTGTAGATACTGGCCAACAGGATGAGGATATTCCAATAATCCTGATTAGAGGCTTTCCACAAAGAGGACAAAATCCACCCATCAGCTTAGCAACTGTGCATTTATTTTGTATGTCACTCTTCCTCTTTATCATACATTTGTACACTCCTGTAAACTTGTTCCTCCAAGCATATCTGGCGATTAAACTGAATGCCAAGATTTGACAAGAGAATATGCAGGAAAAGCCTGTCCTTATTACTTACTTCTCAAGAAACTGGGAAGAAATATAAAGAAAAGGTCAATAGAGCAATGGTCCAGCAAAGAATTGTATTGTATACCCTGGCTTCTTTGAAATTAATGGAAGTTTTTCTACCAGGGTCAATAGCATGAGAACTATAACCCTCTCTTCTTCCCCTTTCCCACTCATGACACTCTCGTACTCTCACTTAATGTTTTGCAATCTGAGTTCCTAACAGACTTGAAAACATTTGTATTCACCAAATCCCTATGGTATAGGGAAAGTGCCATTATCCACATTTTACCCACTATGGTTTTCTTTATGCTGGAGTTGGCTAAATGGAATCTAGTTACTGAGCTACTGACTTGCTCGCTATAGCAAATGCAGCAAACATAACTAGAGAGACTTAGTTGTTGGTGGGTTAGGTTGTTGCCTGGTTATTTCCTCTGACAATATAGACAAACTATGCCACTGACAGGTGTCTCGACTGGATAAAGCTAGGAGGGACATATTCAAATCTGCTTTACCCACCGCAGCTACCAGAGAAAGTCTGTCTGTGGCTGAGATATTCCACAGGCATCTACTGAATCCAAGTGCAGGACTACTCTTGCTCCCCTTGCGTGTCTTTTCCCCTCTTTTTTTTTCTAGAATTTCACTGCTAATCAGCAATATTAGAATAGGGTACCAATGTGATTCTGAAATAACTTAACCTGTAAATTCAAGTAAGCAATTCCAAGTAAATGCTCTTAACTTTCAAAATGTTTTCTTTAGTGGGAAGAGCTTTTGGTCAGAATGCTTTTATGGTAATCCCATTTCATTACATGTAGAGAGACACAGAGACAGAGAGACAGAGAATATCCCATGACGAATACCACAGAAGTCTGTGGTTCATGATATGTCAATGATATGTGAACTGTGACACTTGAGCTAGAGACCATCACTCACACCTCTGGGACTGGTAGACAAGTATGCACATTTGATCTCTCATATTTGTATTGCTTCTAATCTTTCTTGCATTATATGTAGATAAGGCACAGTTATGGTTCATATTGTCATTGCATAGGAATATGAAGATTCTTTCTCTTCAATCAAATACATCGACATGAATGTAAAAAAACCCCATCCTCTGCTAGAATTATTCTCTAACTCATATGTACATTATTTAACAGTTCAGATGCTCTGTAAAGCTGAGTAAGACTAATCTATATAGCAAAGAGGAGGACTACAGACAGAGTAAAACACAGGACTTACGCCTATTGTTCCAAAGCTTTCAGGCTTTCTTCTAATTTTTTTCTTGCAAAGGTGTCTCCATAACCATTTGATCAGATACCACAGAGACTTTGGGCTTGGTATGACATTAAAAGGAGTGGGCAGAGTTCCTCCTTCTTCAAAGTAACTCATCCAGAGTTTTGTTCGAGCAAACTTCCACTCAATGTCCGCATGATCCTACACACAAGAAACACAACGTCAGCACAGATGTGGCTGTAATTAAGGAGGTGAAACAAACGTCTACAAAAATCTGAAAAGCTAAAACTAGAACAACCATGAAATACTAATGAATTTTCTTGTTAAAATACTGGCATCTCTTTTCACAGAATGTCTTTAACACAATGCAAAGCTAAGCCGCTTTACTTCAGTAAAAAGATGTTAGATATGTATAGTATATATCCACTTTCAACTTCTCTTTCCTTGCTACAGGCTTTTAAATAATTAAGTCTCTCAAACAACAAAGGATAATTACAAGCAAAAAACTGCTACATTTCTGGAAGAGATGTTTTGTTACAATAGCAGCTCATCATCATTCCACATAGATCACTCCAATTACTCTGCTGTGTAGCAGCTTCAACAAGTCTGTAGGTCTCATGCACTCTCTTAGTAATTGCCAGCCCCAGAAATTCACAAAGAAGTTATCCAACAAACCATGAGGCTACTTAAAACTGTTGAGTATCATTTTTTTCCTCCTACTTTAGAGTTATATATTTGGAATAGGTTGAGGGTTTTTTAATTAATTTTTATTTGAAATTTTATTTCTTTTGGATTCTATGTATTATTGTATAATTTTGAAAAGTTCAAAAAAAATCAAAGCCAAAGTCCATGGAAAGATTGCTAAATTCCAGCAGCTGAACAGTAAGTTTAAATCACTAATATTAGGTTTGGACAACAAACATACTAACCAAAAACTTAAAATACAGGTCTAGCCCTCACCATTAATATTTAGCAAGATATGCACTAATCAAAACAGTAATTTAGAAGTTGTAGTAGGAAAAGTATTCTACCTGCATCTGAGTTTTGATGAGTGCTAGTATGTTGTGACATTGTGTACCAGACTTTGCTAACTAGTGTTATAAAAACACATGTAGTCAGTATTTCTTTCGTGGAAAAACTTCTAATTTCCAGATTAGAAAAAAGGCACATTTTAAAATCTTAAGACTGTGAGGCTTTATTTTATTTGTTTGCTTTCTGCAAGATCATATTTGAATTCTCATTTGATGAATCAGTGTTTATTTTCATTAGTCTTCTTAATAGACAGCTGAGAAATAAAAATAAGCCAATGGTTCTGATAAGGATAGAGACAGTTTTCATTAAAGGAAAAAACAGGACACCGCTGAATGAGAAGTCATGACCTTTTCTTTGAGTTGCTAATGGGTCCAAAATTGTCCATGAAACATGAGCATCCGATTTCTATTAACTGCATGTTCACACTATATAAAAATCCAAAAATAACAGCCTTTTAAAGGTTAATAAATATAATGTATTAAACATAAAGCAGAGACACAGCAATCTTTGTCAGAGTCTCTTTCTCGGTAAAGGTCCTGCACAGTGCAGCTTGGGCAGGGCTGTAGCCCATGTCACTTGCCAGCAGCCTCAGGACACCCTTCTTAAGCCACGAGCTGGCTTCTGCAGCAGGGCCACCTCTTTCCCATTCAGGGTTATCTTCCCGATGCAGATGGGGTCTGGTTTCTCTGTCCTTCCAGAACAGTGCCAAAGAAATAGAATAAATCAGAGAATTTGTCCCAACATCCTATCTGTAAAAAAAGATTTACTGCCAGAAAAATGGTATGCAGGAACAGAGAGAAGGTATATATTAGAAATGATCTAAGGATAAGGAACAACTTACAGCAATAAGTTGGTAAGAATTATTCATCATGGCTATTAGCATGTTGAGTAGAACAACCAGAGAGATTACATTATAGGTACCAAACATGGTGGCCCCGACAAATTCAGTAAATTCATGCCTTGCTTTCACATTGGTCACATAGAGATTGATGAGTCCAAATATAGACCAGAATAATGACTGCAGTGTTTCAAATAATCTGAAAAACAAAACCCGAAAGGAATAGCTGGATAACAACAATATATGTACTTTTCAGATTGTTCTTTTTTTCCCCCCAAAACACAGAAGTCCTTGACTTGATTGAGATGAATGATAATTATCACAATATAGGCAACATATATGGAGTATCTTTCTAGGGAAACAATGGCTTAACATTTCCAATCTGAGCCTCTAGATATACAGTAGTGAATCTATAAATAAGCCTGTGAGTAAATGGCTGATTTTGTTCAAGCTTCTGAGGGATAAATATAGTTTTAGAGATCTTATTTTGGACACCTGCCTTGAAGTATTTTGACCCTTTGCCTTGACTGTAGAGGCATCCAAAAGTAAGGCAACAAAGATCCAAAAGTAACTCAATGATTGTGTTTCACCAAGATGTTAAAACAACTATGGTATCCTTATACCTACTTGGTGCTGCCAGTTTATGCAATTTCTAGTTTGTGTTGAGAGTCATTGAGATAAAAGGAGCTGTATAATTAGAAGGACATTATTATCATTACCATATGTTTTGTTTTGCAAAAAAGACAAAAATGCCACTCTCAAATGAAACTTGTACTTTTATAACTAAATTACATGATATTGCCTTAGAGAAGTTCAGGACAACAGCTAGGAAGCTATATAACAGTAACCAACTTTAAAAAAAATCCTCAGTGACCAGCTACCTTGACATAATTTCACTTTTGTTCATCTACAATGTTCATCACAATGTTCAGCTACACTATAGTGTCGTAAGTGTGGGCCCTGGTTATCCCAGTTGCTCCTGAAAAGTTTAGAGCAAAATTTCCTGCTTGTCTGGCCCCATATCTAAGATGAATTGGAGTGAGTTTTCCCCATGGCCTCTCCTGCTCCTTCACCCTGACACCAGAAGCAGGTTAACCAGACATGGGCCACCAGCGCCGGCCCCACTGCACCTGGAGCAGGGAGGCTGCTGAACTGTGAGGGACTTGTACCACCCTGGACGCTGGGACCCTTCAGTCCCTTTCCTGCCATGCGGTACCACCTGTGAAACGTAACTTTGTCATGCAACCCAATACGGTGCTCTCTGACAGAGATACCTGAGGAGGCAGTATGCTTTTACTTATAGAAACTCCACGTTCTGTCTCTTGCTCCTGTAATACAGCATATGTGAGTGGTAAAGTACTGCTCTGGAGTCTCCTGTATGGTTTACACTTGTCTGAGCACGAATTGAATAACCACTATTCTCCTCTGCTCACAGCTGCAGAAAAGGCTCAGAAGGCATCACAGTTTGCCTTGACACCATCTTCTGGCACCAGTACCTGTAGTCCCCACTATTTTACAGATGAATAATATTGCTTCCCTCAATGTTCAGCTCTGAAAAATTTCCCCGTGCTTTTCTGTTCAGATCACACAAAGTTTAGACCTGCATAAGATGTTATTAATATTCAAGATAAATATGCTGTGCCTGAGCAAAGTTACTTGATTAAGATGATATAAAAGGTGATATTTTTACGGAATTATTTACTTTGAGAAGGAAGCAATTGGTAACAAATATATTTTAAGAACAGATATAATTCATAGAAAGTAATAGGGAAAAAGTATTTATAGCAGGAGTTTGATTCGTATTGGAAGTTTAAAGATGAGATAGAGAATTAGTATTCATTTGGTAGTGTTTCGGTACTATAGATGAACGACAGAACAGATTAAAATAAAATTAATTTTTAAGTGAAAGAAAAAAATAAACTTTAAAACAGAAATTAAAATGCAGTATTTGATTTTGTGGAGTAGACTCAGGGTCAGTAGAAGCCTGAACTGAATGTTTTTTCCTGCCTCAGTTTATCACATTTACAAGGAATCTTCGCATCTTAGAACACCACTTGTTTAATGCTCACAAGCAGACATGGAAGCAATGCAGAGTGACAGCTGCCTGGATAAACAAGCTCTGATCTGGTGACCTTTTTTCCCTTAATTCTAAATATGTACTTTCTAATCTCATATTATCTCCCCCTCCTCTTTATTTTATCTTTTTATCTTTTGAGATACCTTGAATTGTACAGACCTCACTGTGGTATGGGATTAACATTATTACAGAGTGATGTAAGGCTAATATTTTTTTTTATTAGGGTAACTTTAGACATGTCTGTCAGGACACCACTGTAATACCATAGAAAACAGACAACCTCTTTCCTGTAAACAACATCTAAATGATTAAAATATTGGGGAGGATAGAAATAGATCAGCCACTTACGTTGAAAATGCATTATTCTGCTTTTCACATCGTATTCCTTTGCAGTTGCCGGGTTCATTTGTCTCATAGTAGAAGTACAGCTGGTTCAATCCATTTGCAAAAGCTAGCAGCACAAGGCAGTATATGAAGAGAAACTTCAAAATGTCCAGCAACATTCTTCCTAGAGATATCTGCAGAGGTCCCAGGTGAGAATTTGCAGTGAATAATGAGATCAAGCGTAGGGAGCTAAAGATGTTTGCGATTGCAAACAGGGCCTCAGCCACCAGGGTTGGATGCCACATGTCCCAGCTCTCCCGTGGAACTAACCCACTATACTGAAAACAAGCAGAAGGGAAGAAATTACTCCTTGTTTACTGCACACACAAGTATGTCAGTTTCTTTATAAGCTGTTCAATTCATTTTCAGATAGCACAATAAAATGAAAAATCTTCTGGAAAACAGCATGTCTTCAGGTGAGTTTTTTTTGTTTTGCCAAAACAAAAAAAATGGGCAGTACCCATGTACTTGTCCTTCATTTTTATCTGCAGGATGGTCTATACTTTCCAGTTTTTTGCCTGTGTTTTGCATTTGGTTCTAATTTCCACAGTAGCAAAAGCAAGTCTAACAATTCTGACTGAGAGTAAAAAGAACAGTTTTTGAACACCTGAGTTTTAGAATTATAGAAACTTTCAGCTTTAAAACCAGGTAAATTAGTTCTTTGGAGAACAGTGCAGATACAACAATGATGGATAGAAACACACAAGAACTTTGGCAAGTTGGAAGAAAACATTTAATCAAGGGATAAGTATATCACTTAATCGCTAACACTGCACCAATGATGAAAAAGCTGTTTATTAATGAACCATGGCAAACTGCTTTTGTGTGTCATTATCAAAGAATCTGATCCCTGGAACTGTGACTCTTTATGTTCCAGCTCTACCAAAAATTTGCTTGAAGATGAAAGATGATACTTTGAACTGAGGCTTAGCTACTGTGGCAAAGACATTATTATTTATTCAGTGTCATTAATCTGTTTTACAGAATGTATCAGAGGACAGAATCTATGCTATGAAGCACCATAGGATAATACAATATGAAGCAGATTTCAAAGAGGGACTATGGTGCTGTCTGTATTTACCTACACTAGCTAGATGCATCCTTCAGAGCTGCTGAGCATGCCCTTAGTAGTAAGGAAAGGGATTCTTCCATGTCACTGAGGCCAGATGAAAAAACATAGCCAGGCATTGAGTTTCCACACCACACTCACCCTCCAAAGAAGGTGACTGCTCTCAAGGTGGTTTGAGACCACCAGACGAGATGCATCCCAGAGAACTGAGGGAATTGACTGATGTAGTTCTTAAGCCACTCTCCATGATATTTGAAAAGTCACGGCAGTCAGGTGAAGTCCTCAGGGACTAGAAAAAGGGAAACATTTCACCCATTTATAAAAAGGATAGAAACGGGGATTTCAGGAAGTACCAACCTGTCAGCCTCACCTTTGTGCCTGGGAAGATCATGGAACAGATCCTCCTAGAAGCTATGCTAAGGCACGTGAAACACATGGAGATGATTTGAGACAGCTAGCATGGCTTCACCAAGGGCAAGTCTTGCTTGACCAACCTAATGGCCTTCTATGATGGAATCACTACATCAGTGGAGAAGGGAAGAGCTATAGATATCATCTAGCCAGACTTCTGTAAGGCCTTTGACATGGTCCTCCACAGCATCCTCCTTTCTAAATTGGAGAGGTATGGATTTCATGGCTGGACTGCATGGTGGATAAGGAATTGGTTGGATGGACGTATCCAGAGAGCAGTGGTCAATGGCTCAATGTCCAGATGGAGATCGGTGACGAGTGGTGTCCCTTAGGGGTCTGTATTGGGACCAGTACTGTTTAATATGTTCATTAGTGATATAGACAGTGGGATTGAGTGAACCCTCAGCAAGTTTGCACATGACATCAAGTTTAGTGAGGCTGACACATCTGAGGGATGGGGTGCAATCCAGAGGGACCTGGACAAGCTCAGGAAGTGGGCCCATGCAAACCTTATGAGGCCAAGTGCAAGGGTCCCCAGTATCAATACAGTCTGGGGGACTTGGGGTAGGTACTGGTGGATTAAAAGCTGGACATGAGCCGAGGATGTGAACTTGCAGCCCTGAAGGCCAACTGCATCCTGGGCTGCATCAAAATAAGCATGGCCAGCAGGTCAAGGTAAGTAATTCTGCCCCTCTACTCTGCTCTGGTGAGACCCCACCTGGAGTACTGTGTCCAGCTCACAGAATCACAGAATCACAGAATGGTCAGGGTTGGAAGGGACCTCTGGAGATCATCTAGTCCACCCCCCCTGCCAGAGCAGGGTCACCTACAGCACGTTGCACAGGACGGCGTCCAGGCGGGTTTTGAATGTCTCCAGAGTGGGAGACTCCCCCACCTCTCTGGGCAGCCTGTGCCAGTGCTCCACTACCCTCCAAGTAAAGAAGTTCCTTCTCATGTTAAGATGGAACTTCCTATGTTCAAGTTTATGCCCATTACCCCTCATCCTATCACTGGGCGCCACTGAAAAAAGACTGCTCCCATCCCCCTGGCATCCTCCCATTAAGTATTTGTAAGTATTAATAAGATCCCCCCTCAATCTTCTTTTCTCTAGACTAAAGAGACCCAAGTCCCTAAGCCTTTTCTCCATAGCTCTGGAGCCCTCAGCACAGGAAAGACACGGACCTGTGGGGCAGGTCCAGAGGAGGCCCACAAAAATGATCAGAGGGATGAAGCACTTCTCCTGTGAAGACACGCTGAGAGAGTTGGGGTTGTTGAGCATGGAGAAGGCAAGGCTCCGGGGAAACGTTATTGTGGCCATTAAGTACTTAAAGGGGACTTATATGAAAGATGAGGACAGACATTCTACCAGGGCATGTTGTGATGGGACAAGGGGTAATAGTTTTGAACTAAAAGAGGGTGGATTTAGCCTGGATGTAAGGTAGAAATTTTTTACAATGAGAGTGCTGAAACGCTAGCGCAGGTTGCCCAGAGAGGTGGTAGATTCCCCAGTCCTGGAAACATTCAAGGTCATGTTGGATGGGGCTTTGAGGAACCTGATACAGTGGAAGATGTCCCTGCTGATTGCAGGGGGGTTGGGCTAGATGACCTTTAAAGGTCCCTTCCAACCAAAACCATTCTATGATTCTGTAATTTTGTCATGGAAATTGTGGATGGGAACTGGGCATTGTTTTGGACAGTGCTAGTTGGCACACGACCCCACCATGCCAGGCTTGCTCTAACCAACTGGTAGCACAGGTGAGACAGTCCCAGTTTCTGACAGCGATCCCTGGCACAGTTTTATTTACTCATATACAAGCAGCCATAGCATCTAACAGTCTTGTGGTTTTGGGTATGAGAACTGCAAATTTGTAGAATAGCAGTCCATTGAAGAATTACTCAGTCTTACATTCCAACCACCAGTGATATTTGTTCTTTACAGAGTAGGGAATTAAATCCAGACCTGCTGGAGTCATAGGTCAGTACTCTCTTCATTAGACTACTCTCTGTCCTAATGATCATGCTGTAAAATCAAGTCTTACTGCATTTGACATTGTAGCTCCGAAAGAGGTGCTATTCTGTCTCATCCAGTATTGCCCTTCAGTCCAAATCTGATTGATTCAACATCACTGATGAAGTAACAGGCAGTAGAAAACATAAGTGAGTTGCTAGAGACACCAGCTAAGAGATAAAAGGAAGAAGAAAATGAAGAAGAAGATTTTTTTAATGTTCATTGAGAAAAGAGGTGAGAACTCCTCAGCATGTTTTCTATAATGTATTATTTTGAACAATATTATGCAGCATATTACTGTGAATTCTGATGGCATTTTACAACTCTGGTATGTGGAAACTTGCATCTATTAAATAATTAGGAACAGTTGTCAGTACAAGCAAAGATTAAGTGATGAACAGTGCAGTAGATACTCAGATTAGGGAAAAGTACAAAAAGTGTGTTGGGGGAATAAGGTAAAATACATTCACGAAAAAAATTAAAGAAGGTATTTGAAACTAGGAAGAAACAGAGTTTTGGGTAGAGAACCAGAAGCATCCAACTGCAGATATATTTTAGGTGAAGGTAAGTAGTGGCAGATTCCAAGGAAGTTAAACAAAGCGATGGTGGTGGGGGGGGGAATCTAAGGAAATACCCTTCTAAGAAAAACATGTAACTACTGGCCATTGAATAAGGATAGCATATGATATAGTAAGAGATCAAGGATCAAGTTAAACCAATCAGGTGTGGACAGCCACATCTGTGCTCTCTGTCATCTAATTTTACAATCAGCAAAGAAAAACGGGCATTTCTAGAGTAGTAGGAGAGCAGATATCCCAAACACGTCAGATGAGTCGTTCTTTAACTCTCTGTTTCTCCTAATTGATTACTGGGGTAGGGCAGAGGCCGTCTTATAGTTGTAGTCTAACAAGATGCATCCAATGTCACCTTTTCTAGAAGAGATGAGGTTAAGGAGAAAAATGAGAAGAAAGAACTTTATCTATGATGTTCTAGATTGAGACACAAAACTGATGTGTTAAAACACCCAGAAACGATCAAATGACCTCTTATCTGTAAAAGGAAAATCAAAGGCACAACTGTGTTATTTCAGCTTAATTGGTTCTGCCTTTCTCGGGCCCAAGTGCTTCCTGCACATGTGGATACAATGCAAAAGGTCTCACTGTTGTAAGCAGAGAGGGAGGGCTGTTTTGAAGATATGTGATTTAAGAGACTGGAAATATTTAGCTGAAAAATAGTGAGAAAGGTGAAGGCCTGAGAAGTAAGTTTGGAAATGATCTGTGAAATATACTAGCTGAAAGAAGGCAGCAAATAATACAAAGAAAATCATGAGTATGAGTAGGCTCTGACAACAAAACCCTATTGATTCCACTAATTAGAGGATGCTGAAGAGAAATCTAGAAATATCAAAGAAGAACCAGGAAAACAAAGAAGCACACATATGAAAAGGAAAAGAAAGCAGAGGAGCGAAAATTCTAGGCATATTAAAACCAGAAACAGTGAAAATATGAAAAAAAAAAAAAGAAAAACTGTATTTTAAGACCAAACAACCCCAAACATGAAGAATTGAAGTATTTGTTCTCTCACTCATGCTTGTTGATGTTCTGTTCTATACAGAATAAATAAATGGTTATTGTTCTAGGGAATGGAAAATGGTAACAGCAAATATAGCAATGCCGAGTTTGTTGTAAATCATGATGTTGATACTTTGCAGTCTTTCTTTCATTATTTTGTGACCCTGATGAATTTCTGTCGCCACTTCAAATGCAAACACAACCTTTTGACATGTAACAAAGCCAACCATCATTTAACATGATTAAATAATACCTATCATTGGCTGGTTGGCTGAAGGAAATATATACAGTATACCAATGGAAAAATAAGAAGAGCAGAAAACAAATTGAGTAGCATATAAACAGTAGAGTTTCAAGGCAAATACATTCGTGTGATGTCACCCAGGGAATACAAAATAATAATTCTTAATCCTTACTCAAAGGAATTCAAATGCAAATCTAATATCAGAATGACTTGTGAGAAAAAAATGAGAGTTGTCCCATGAGGAAAAAGATCATGAACTGTAGACCTCATGAAATCACCAAGAGAGATCAAATAGACATATAGATCAGGCTACCTGAATGTTTAATGGGCTGTTGGATCTTGCTCAAATGTGACCCCCTTGTGTCTGATAATAAAAAGAAAGGTTAAATAATATCCACTTCAGGAAAAGAACTTTCAATACTTTTCTGAAAGGTCATATGCGAATGTGAACTCTTCCTGTTTTAAAATGTATGTCCCAATCTTTGCATTCATTATGCTGAATTTCAGAGCAGCAGCAGCAGGAAGGGTAGGGGGAGAGCTTTAAAACAGTGATTACATTGAGGAATTGAGTCTATAATTATTCAGGGAGAAGAGGGATTAATGTAAATGGACATTTGGCCTGTGAATCTGGTGAAACATCAATCAAAACCATTTTACGATGCAAACATATAAGAAGAAGATGTTAGCTTCTACAGAACTGGTGGCAGAAGAGAAATATCATCTTGTTTACTACTAAACAGAGCAGATCTGACACGGTGATCATTAAGCCAGTAAATATGGAGACAAATAATGTATTTTTAGTTACTTTTCAGAGTTCTCGACGTGGATAGGAACTTGTTTCCCTACTAGCTTTTCATGTCATTGACTGAGACACATAAACAGTAAGGTGAACTTGCACGCAGTCTCTAGCAGAGTTGGAAACAAGCAGCACTAGGTGCATTGCTCACATTTAACAAATATTTAAGATAAAGCAATCAGGATCTGTACATAACTTGGCATTGCACCTAACTTTACACACTAGTACAAAATAAATTATCTTCCAAAACCATAAAAAGAACCATTTTTCTTAGAGCACAATGACTTCTATTTATATTTATAACCCTCCATTAAAACAGATGTGTTGCTTAAAATCAGTCATTTATAAAACATGTGACAATCCACTATTTATAACCACATTGTTTACTGGGGAGAGAGTATTTTCAGTGGATATACTGGATAGTTTAAAAAGACCTCACATGTTGATATACGATCAGAGACAAAAAGCATAGTCCTTTGAGAAATATGAGAAGTATTCATTTTATTTGAATACTGGCAATGAAACAGATAACTTTGACTTATCTTAGCAGCTCTCTCATCCTGAAATTACACTCTTTGGTGTATTTTACACTATCCCATCAGCTGATGTAAATATCCATCTGCTTAACTACTGTGTTGGTCAGAGAGCCCCGAATGGGCAATAAACACTACATTTTTCTCTGGGAACATCTATCACACAGGAGATTAGTATGAGAGCAGTCTTATATTTTTATTCAAGGGAGTTGGTTAAAATGTTGTTTTAGGTGGCTTGAGCTGATTCATAGAAGGTAGAATACATCTAAGAAAACCGGGCTATAAATTTGATTCAATAAATACAGAAAAGCTGTATTTTCGAAAAAAACTACCTTGTAAGGTTTAGGAAATGAGAATAAAAGCTTTACATCAAAACATGCTGGTTACATTTGGCATCCTTTCAATCTCATCTGGCACAGAGGTGGGGAACTCCATTGTAGGTATTTGAAGGAAGTGTGGCTGGGTATTAAGTTGCACTTGCGTTACTCTGTTCATTACATCATCATGTGTTTCAATTGCCTACCACAACTGAGGCTTTCTTAAGGAACAAAAAGTATTTGGGTGCAACATTGCACATGCATTAAAAAAACAATAGCCACAGAACCAAAGCTAGTGCTTTATGCACTGTGTTGATTATGATTGGCATGCAAGCACTAATTTCTAGAGTAATGAATGCACATTACCCCAGATACTGTCACCTTGGAGTCTGATTACCGTAAGCAGAAGCCGCCTGGGAGATGAAAGGATTATAATGTCTTCTAATTAATATTACTCTAAAGTGAATAATTGGTCATCTCCAATGCTTTGGAAACACGCATTTTCAATGAACTGCTCACTTTGTTACATGGACAGTGAAATGACTATTTATTTTCCAGTCACTTTATGATGAGGCATCCTTGTGTGTAAAAAGGCAATTCATCAGCTTTAAATTACAACCCTTCTCACACTTGTGAGCGTCTTGCTCTTTTAGGCAACAGCTCTGAATTTCTTTGAGTGAGAAGACTTCCAAAGGTTTGCAGCCAGAGAGCCAACGTGCCAGAAACCTTTTGTCACAGGAGGTGGCTGGTGTGTCAAGACATCACAGGTCTTTGCTCATCCCTCCCACTGACCGGCTGACCTATAGACCCTTCTGAATAGACACAAGATTATATAAATTAGAGGTTCCTACATTCCTCTATACTTATGGCAGGGCTGCAGCAGGAAGCGCTGCTGTTTGAGGATAGGGAGCTGTAACCAGCTACCTGACGGCTGTCTCCTCTTCTTTTCCCAGCCAAAAGGATCTTGGCAGAGGAGAGACTCTCCTTCCATGCATACAGGGTAGCTGGTGGCAGGGAACTTGCAACAGCTGAAACACAATGCTGATCACAGTGGCCAGTAAAAATGGGCTTGTTATCTTTACTCGGATGTGATAAGAGCTCCATGACAGATGCTAAGAAATGCTTTCATTTCAGTTCAGATGTGGCTTCCTTGAGACCATTTTTTTGATGAAAGCATTTCATTTTATGAGGAAATTCTATCATATTATGGATTCATGTTGAACACATACAAAATGCAATGTGTTCCATGGCTTTGGAAAGAAGGGCTGTTTTGCTGGAAGATACTTCAAACTGTGGTAATACAAAACTACTCATAAACAGTCCACTAAAAGGATTAGAAAATGAACATACCCAGCCACAAGTGACCATTTTATATCCTTCAGCTTTACTTTTTCATGTTGCACTTATCATAAATTTTCAAAACAAAATTAAACTCTTGCTCTTCAGCTTTTTTTTTCCCTTAATTTGGAGTCAATATTTCTCTTGTAGTCTTGTCCAGAAGTTTTGCATGGTGCATAAAATTGTATTAGGGGCAATAATTTCTTACTGAAAAATAGGCAAAGACTAACACAGAACATAATTTTGTGCAAACATTAAATGTTAACAGTAATTTTCCTTTTCCAAGAAAATGACAGTATGAGTGTTCAGGATCAAGTGAGAAAAGACTACATGGGCCAAGAAGAAAAAAGTATAAATCACAATGTTTTGTTCACTCCCATCCTGGTTTAGCTTCTTGTCATAGCTGCAGAAGATTCAATGAGCACATCATACATTTCTTGCATTGCTAAGCCTGGGAACCTCCAAATACAGAAGAAGGTTTGAAAAAGCCTTAAATATTCCGAAATATTCTGCTGAATTTTTAAAAAAGTTTACCTTTGAAAATGCAACAATTTTCAAAGAGATTGTTGCTAAGTACAAGGAGTTCATTACAAAATCCATGAGGTTCCACCAATCATGAATGTAGTCCTGTAGTCCACCATCCCACATCTGTTTAATTTCACCCCAGATAAAACCTGTAAACAGAACATAATTCATTAAGCATGAATATTAAATAAAAAAGGCTGTGACTATTCTAGACACGTATCTCATAACAGATCGATTCTTCTTACATTAATTATAAAGGGAAGGTGGATAAGTGCTCTAAATTACACATCTAGTTAGGTGAAATTTTATCTTCTCATTAATGTTTCCGGAATTAATTTGTCAGGCAAAACCAAAAAAAATCATCTGATTGTATAAGGGCACTTTCTTTCGCTTTCTTCAATCTCTTTTCCCAGTGTACCCTAATAAGTATCAAAAGAGTTTGAAAACCAGTCACCAATGCCAACTCTGTCCTTGGTATCTTCTGCATTATAATTCAAACTCGAAAATTTATGACTGCAGGACTCAGTCCAACACATTAATTTATTTCAATTGGATCCCACACAATAAGGAAGAAAATTTCTATTGTTGTCAATGCTGAACTGAAATGTCCCTTTTCCATAGGAAAGATCAGTGCTCCAGCAGAATATTTTTTGTTGATGCCTTTCTTTGGGACATGAAGGAATGGAAACTGTTTTCAGGTCTGCAGAACATGCATTGCACTGGACACAAAGGGCTACAGAAATACTCAATCCCAATGGGAAATTTTGCAACTTGTCTGACATGAACTTGATTTAACAGCTCCAGAGACAACTGTGTGGAGACGCTTTAACATCATAAACATTAAAATCTCTCCGAAGAAGATACTATACATTATTGTATAACATGGTATGATAAAACAACATGGAACATTTAGATGCATATTTCATATTATTATCTACAGAGTTTTTTGATAATAATACCAATAGAGCTTTAATTTTTTTTCAGTAAATTCTTTTCTTAAAGGAATTCCTTACTTTTGTGCTCATTAAAGGGACAAAATTCACCACAAAAGAGACCAGTCTCTCATATATAGATGTTGAGATGCGGTTAATTCAACATGGCTTTTCTCTACCTGCTTATCACATGTTTCTTTAGGAAATATCGAACAGATTTTATGCAGTGGCCTATGGAGTCCTGCATCGCTCTAGTATGGGCTTATTTCACCTTGAACCTTAACATTTTGTTTCAATGGTCTTCCAGTTGATTGCATGGAAAACTTGTGTCTTCTCTCAAACATGATTCCTAAGAAGTAATTCCTGGTCTATTCTTGCTTGCGTCAGGTAGGTTTTTTAGTTATTTGGAAGGCAGGAGGGGAATAGAAGGGAGGAATACAATTTCATTTTGTAGTGTTTTGGCTTGAGTCTTTCTGTCTCCTGATTGCTTTCAAAAGGACAGGTTCCCTTCCTCACTCTATTCTCCCCTCAAATCTCAGCCACATGTTCCCATCTTGTTTCTGTGTCTTGTAATCACAAGTCTCAGGATTATCTGAATCATCTGATTGATCCAGCAACTTTTATAGGGCTCGTTTTCAGCCATGCCACCATCACTACTTCAGCATTCTGCAGAGCTGGGGGAACACATTCTGGAAAAGGGCCATGGTGGGAATATGTAGACAGGAAAGTGGGATGTGCCCATTTTAGTGTCTACAACAGCCTAGACAGGCTGATTGCAACTCCACCTTTAGGTTATCAGATAAAACTAATACACAAAATATAGCACCGTTAAGAAGCTAACATTTATTTTCAAGCTGCAATCAATTGCGGTGAGTGACAGTGAGAAGAAAACAGCTGAACATTATTGCATGGCAGGGGTTAATATCCACTTAATTGGTTAATATCCAATAATAGCATCCACTACTGCTATTAACTGTCCCAGTGCCATCACAATGGGAACAAACACACCTTCACAGGGCCACTAGGCAGGCTCCTAAATGCCTGCCGGTTTCAGCCTGTGAAATGAGTTAACCACTTACTCTTAAAAGAGCTGGTTACTCCTGACACACAGTGTGAACAGGACAACAGCGGGTCTGGCTACCCCTTCCCTCCGCAGTCCTATCCAACCTTCAACACACAGCCCATGTACTGGCAAATGTCCCTGCTTGCTCTTGCACTACCTTTTAGACAGAACATGTTAAGCATCAGCATGTCGTAAACGCAGCTGTTTTGTAGGCTGCAATATACCCCTCGCTTTTCAGATGCTGGTCTGAATCACCCCTGCTCCAACTGCAGAACAGCACATAAAAATAACCATTGTGCCTCAGGAGCCTGAGGAGAACTGGCTCCAGGCTCAGAGGAGACCTGGAGCCAAAGGCGGTGTGACACGGATATGGCTCCTAAGCCTCAGTTTTAGAGAACAGTTCCTTGGTCTTTTTTATTTGATAATACAGGCGTAGCCCCAGGGTCTTGACACTGAGAACACTGCTATGGCACAGAAAGCAGACAGTTGCATTGATAGAAAATCCCCAAAGAAAAAGGCTTTATGGAAATCAATAAACATTCATAGAATTAAATAAACTCTTTTGTAATTCATCACAGTTAAGCATTCCCTTAAAAATATGCTCTAAAAACAGATGAGAAATAGATTGGGATGATTAAGATGAATGCTTAAGCAAGAGGCTGTAGGTTCATTAATGTCTTCTGCTGAGATACTCCGTGATTCATAACCAACCAAAGACGTGAACTGACACAAGTGCAACAAGGCTGTTCTCTGTAAGACTGTTGCTCAGTATCATGTGCTTTGATAGCACTGCCTAAAATATAATAGAATTACGTACAGATTGAAAAAGAAATGCTGACTAATACTGCTGCATTTGATCTGTTTTGTGAGTGAAAAGCCAGACTGTTCTTCCAAGCATTTCTTGGGGTTCAGAAAATGAAATGTAAAGTTGACACAAACAGAGAAATACTGACCTATTATAGAACAGTGGAAGAAAGTATATGGCTATTGTAAATTGATGATCATTTTGAGTTAGAAACACAACTAACCCAAACTACCAGTAATGCTGATGATGTTTGGCAGCTGAAAATTCTGAGTATACATTGACATTGTAATGCTGGTGGTTCTAGATTTTTTTCTTAGTTCAGGAAAACTTTTATTTTCACCCTGATGCAGGGCTTGTTCTTTTCAAGCCAATGATTATGGAAAACCAGAAATCCAATTTTTTTTTTTTTTTCTCTGTACTGGAGATGTGATATTTTGGTCTTTCTTGCCAGCCAAAAAATCTAAGTGCAAATTTCATATATAAATACAGTTACTGAGATCTTATGGGACTCCAAAGAACTTGAAACTAGGCTGACTGGTGGATGCTATGTTTGTGACAGACACACAATCCATGCATGCACAGTAGAGCTTCCCAGACACATCTTTCTGAAGGCAAGTCTTTGAAAGCACAAAATCCTAAGGTTGACTGCCAAAATCCACAACTCCAGGGCAATCTCACCATGAAAGCTGAGATCAGAGTCTTTGGAGGTACCTGGTCTCTACAGTTAGGTATCCTGAGAGGTGCTCAATTAGAGCAAAGAATGCTGGAAGAACTGGGATCTCTGGAGTTCTGTAAATCCTCCTGAGTGTGCCTGAAGGGTTATCTTAGAAAAGTGTACTCTGAAATCCTGGATCCTTTCTGCAAAGCAGAAGACTTTTCTAAGGACTGGTGAACCTACATGACGGAGCTATTCTGAGCAACAAATCTCAGGGATTCCAACTTGTGCTGTTTAGGATTAATTTACGGTCACATAGCCAGAGGTCTTGAAACCTTGTTGTAGATCATAACTTTATCTTTTTGGGAGAAAGAATGGTCAGGGGGTCAGTCAGCTCTTCTCTTCACAGGGTCTGATACAATATGCCAATTTGGTTCTGTTACATCCATTGGAAGAATCAGGAAAATCCTAGGAAAAATTATGTATTTTAAAAAAAAACCACCTCAAAAAGAAAATATATTTAGCACACAGATTCCGTTTTTTTCTCCAAATTTGTTTTATTTAATCTATTGTCCACTTCCCTTTTCTATTTAGAAGACTGGACACAACCTGACTTTATTATCTAAGGAGACTTTTGGGCAATTCCAAAGTACGACCTGGCGTGATAGAAGAAGAGAAGACATGCAGTGACAAGACTGTCTAATGGGGGCATTGCTAAAGGTAGGAAAGAGATATAGAGTCCAGGCATTGCCTGCTTATTAATGTGTCAAAGCAGCAATGTTATCACATGTGACACAGCTCATGTCAGAGCTACGTGTTTGGCAGCAAGAAAGACGTCTCAACAAAGCAGAGGGGTACCACCAGCCTGCACACAGGTGCTGGGGGAAAAGTGCTAAGAGGAACCAGACAAATACAAGGGGTAGATTTAATAGCAAGAGCCTTTAGACAGTCAGGTTGGGGACAAGTTCATTGCCCAAAGGTGTCTTTACCTTCCTAGGAGGAAACAAGCATCTCCAAAGCTTGTTCGTGAGATAATCCTGTCATCTGTAGGTGGCTCAATCTTCCCATTTATTGAAAAGAGAGTCATGGAGGATTAGGCTGAATTAAAACAGATGTCAAACTTCCAGGTGCCTGTATTTAGCTGAAATAATTCCACCCAGAGCAGATTTCACTGTTTTAGCAGGATAATCTTTGCTATATTCTGGTTGTCTCTTTTCTCCAACTGTGTCCTTCCTATCTCTTCACACCAGCTAGATTTCACACCTGCCTCTTATACCCTCACCTATCCCTTCCCCATCAACCTGCTTTTATCATTTATTGCCACTTGAAAGAAAATTATCAGCATTATGCAGCTCTTCCACCTCATTAATCAAGGACTTAAATTGAAAAGTTGAAGGTGAGACTTTCAAGAATTTGTTGCATTGTTTATAAATAGATACTGCAGCAGTAAAAGAGAAATAACAGCATGGATATTTTGAAACAGGCTGAGATGATAGAAACAAATTTCATTAAACATCCTTTGTTTTTAATGGCATCAAATAGACATCAATTCAGGGCAGGAATCCCACAGGCCACATGAAGCCCTAGGAGTGACAGGTGCCATGGAGATGTTTTGTATAGCGGTGTGAAGTATTATACCTCCAAAATGATCAATGCAACCATTTGACTATAGTCCAGTTTGCCTGATGCAAGAA